ATCCTCAGTGCGAGTACCGTTTGAATAGCACCAGCAATCTCATTAGTTCATGGAACCAGTGGACTACATCCATCAATGCAGGAAAGATACTTATGGGGTTGCCAGCTTCGCCAGCGGCTGCTTCAAGCGGGTATATGCCGCCGCATGTGCTGATTTCACGAGTGCTTCCGGTAATAAAGAATTCTGCCAAGTATGGAGGAGTTATGCTTTGGAACAGGTACTATGATGAGCAGACCAGTTACAGTGCCTCTATTGCGCCAAGTTTATGAGGGCGAGGATTGGACCATCCTCAGAAAGTGCTTCATTTTAATACTAATTAAATAAATTTATGTGATCCTTGAGGTCTCATTATATGGCCGACTCCCTATCTGCTTTACAATAACATGTTTTTCAATGGGATATGATATAATAAAAATGTTATAATTATAATATAATGTGAAATTTTAAACATATAATATGTTATATCATGATATTATATTTATTCGTAATATCATATATATTCATCTATTTAATATTATATTATATTAATTTAATATCATATCATAATTATAAACTGATAATTCTATATGATATTGTAATTATAATATTATCAATGATACAATAACCAAAAATTATGCAATGAACTTTTCTTATGGAGAAACACAAGGAAACTGTAAATAAAACGTATCATCCTGGGAAAATCTTCAAGGAATAATGAAAAGGAAGCCTACAAAAATAAGACACAAAGCTTAGATAATAAGCAGCAAACTACAGTTTGAACCCTCAATCTCATAGGGGAAGCCTAAACTGATCTAAATAATCTTTGCGTGAACTTTTGAAATTATCCTAGCGCGAGGATGACCAGCCTACTGCTTTCTATCGGCTTCTGCTTTGCGGACCTGGATATTATGAGTGGATTGGAAACGCCAGATGGGTTGTCTGCCACTCTGAACAAGTGCCACTTCTTCTCCCTCCTTTACCATCCCTTGCTTCTGTATATTGAGAGTCAGAAAAAACATTAGACATGAAAGAATCAGCAAAGCATATGGAAAGACTTGAATATGAAAATCCAATGTTTTGACAAGAAATGAAACTTCCCATAGAGGAGAGGCCTATCTGGCCTG